GTAACAGAAAAGTATTTTGCAGACATAGGATGAAAATTGATCTGCAGATGTTTGACTTGGACATGTAATCAGGAGGGCTTCGCCCTTAAGCATCATGAGAAAACCAATCCAAACAGGCCTTGTACAACTTGTGGATTCCTGGCTACCTTGTCAAAATGGGTGCCATTTTTTATGCTTTCCTTAGAGTTTTAGAGGTCTTCATGTTAACAATTCCAGTTCCTGGTACTTTGCTTTCAAAGGATATGTGAATGCAGGGCAATTTTCTCAAGATGTGTTCTATTCCATACTAGTGAAGTTTACAACTAATACTGTCCAGTGGCCCAATTTCTATCTATTTCCAATGTATCTGATCTGTTCTTTCTCCAGTGGTAGATAACCTCCGGCAGAATCATTTGCCTCTCTCCGCTGCAGCCCAACATGTGCGCCTACTCTGCTCAAGAGGCTTGGGTGACCCTGTAGGAGCAAGTCTGAGACACACGGGGGCTGCAGGATGGAGGAAAGAGTGAAGGTATCTCCTCATCTGAACTTCGCTGTGCTTGAGGAATGTGGAAAGATCGGAGCTAATCTTTTCCCCTTAACATAGCATAGCAAGAAAATGCTTTACTGCTCTTTTCATTCTCTTCACTGCTGCCACCTCTCTAAGTGCATGTTTGCTTGCTGGAAAATCCCCATTGCATTCAGAGGGGACATAAAATCGCAGCCTATATCATGAGGCCCACATCTGAGCTGGCACACCTAGGGCTACAGTCCTAATATTTTATTTTGATCTATGTGCTTGCATGCTCCTGTTCTCTAGCTTTTACAAAAAGGACTCTTTGTAAAAATTAAAAATGCTTCTGCTTATGCCTGCTTACCTATTTTACAATTTCTTACCAAAATTAGTTTAGCCCTTATTCTTATATATTTTAAATACAGAAGACATTTTTGTACTAAAATTCCAGAATCCATATTAATGCAGTATGTTAGTTAATAGATGTGTTAGAACTTTTCTAATTTTCAACAAAAATCCCTATCTTATGATGATAAATTTTCTGATCTGTACCTTTTCTGCTAAAAGTTTTTGAAGTGACACACTATGATAAAACCAAACTTGCCGATAATATTAAAGCACTAATTCCTTGTGTAGCACATATTTAAAGATTCACATCAAAGACCCTGTTATGTTAATTTTAGAAGTTACTATTTTTATACTATATCAAACAGAATTGGTGCTGGAAAGGATTCAAAACTTATGATGTATGTGCTCTCAATGTAAAAATGATTTGATTTTGCAAATAAGCTAAGATCCCTTTTACTGAAGTCCCAGCAATTACAGGATTTCTAAATCAGTCTTCAACTATAAACACATATATCAGTCAGTCTTCTTTGTGAGGATATATATATAAGGAATGTAAATTCAGAGAAGTGTTTGTATATCACCATGATTTTGATGATCTTATGATACAGGTTGATCATACTGACAGAAAGTTGTACCTGAAACTGCAAGAAAATTCACATCCCTGCTCAGCCTGGGTTGTCATCTCTCTCAACCCAAGTTTTCTGCCTCCAAATGGTCACTGTGTAGACAAAGCTTTGAAGTTCCTTTCACATCAATTGGGGATGCTTAAGCATGCACTTAACCTCCTGCTAAAGGCAACAAGACTGAAAACACTGAACTTTCTATGGTAATCCATGGAAAGTTATGCGCTTAGAAAGTGCATTGTCAAATGACTGAGACTGTCTGTCTCAGTACCTCCTGGTCCTTTAGATTCACTTAAGCCCACGTTATCACACAGTGAAAGTAAGGCATTAAGCTACAGGGTGTAGCTTTAACATAAATCCTAATTTGGGAGCAATGAACACTGATTATCAGAAGATGGTATATTAGATCAGCCTTCCCCAATCTGGTGCCTTTCAGACATGTTTGGACTGTAACATTCAGAATTCCCAGTCAGTGGCCCTGTTGGATGGGAACTCTGGGTGTTGCAGTCCAAATGCCTCTGAAGGTTACCAGGTTGGGGAAGGCTTTATTAGATGAACGGGTACAGAATGTTCTTCCTCCAGTACAAACCTAATATTACAAGCTTGCATGAAAAGAAGGGAGAGAGTGCTTTAAAACCCTCTTTACTACAAGACTAGGACAGTAGGTAGCCTTTACTGGTGCCTTTGTCTTGAAAGACTTGCCATTCCCCCATATAAAAGAACATTGGATGACAAAGACAAGACAGATGAAAGGAACAGTGAGATACATTTATTGCTTTGTGCTTATTTACCCATTCTTATTTTTTCTTTATCTGTTGTCTGCTCATTGTGTAACAATGTGGATTATCAGTCAATCAATCAAAAGATTTTAAAACTACCTGTAGAAGAAGAAGAAGAAGAAGAAGAAGAAGAAGAAGAAGAAGAAGAAGAAAGTAGTAGTAATATATTATTACCCCTGCAAGCTGTTAGACAAGAAATATATAACAAACTATAATAATATATAAAACCACAGGTTAAACCATACCTTAAACCATACCTGTGACAACGGTTAATCAAAATGTAGGAGTTAATTGAGAGCCGATTGAAAAATATTCTTAAGGTTTCTCTTGCAGGTTAATAGGTGCAGCAAAATCCACAAATAAATATGATGCTTTCCTGAAAAATGCCCAAGTAAAGGGCTGTTTGTATGATATGATAGCCAAACTGTGAGTTCCATGTGGCTGCCATTTGGAATAAGTGACCCTTGCTCATGGAAACCTGGTGGGTGTGGGCTATGCAAGGGTTAAACATCCCTTGCATAAACCATGGCCTGTTTTGTTCAACCCGCACATAACCCATACTCACTGGGTTTGCATGACACAAAAAGGTGCCGGGGCGGGGGGGGGGGGAGGGCATATGCCATCTGGTCCCCACAGGCTCTGCAGCTTGTCAGGGGCTACACAACCCAGTCAATGTGTGGCCCATTCCTATGAACTGACGTTAAGGTTTGTGACCCGAAGAACGCCTTATCCAGGAAAGGAGAAATAGTTCTAAGCCAATTGTCATAAAATTGAATATTACACTTTATAATTATATATGTGTAATTACTATACAGAGCACCGATACAGCATTTCAGATACATTGTCTCAGTAATCCTTTCAAGAACCTTCTAAGATAGTCTGAAGGATTATTCCCCCTGGCCCTTGAAGATGGGGGGAGGGGGGTGTCACATAGACATCATGATAGAGGTGATGTTTGTACGAGGCACTTCCTGGTTCACTGCTCGGTTTCTTAACCACTCTGTCCTTCTGGTTTTCTTCTCCCAGAAGGCAGAGGCACCCAGGCCCATGGCAATTCCTCCATCAGTCTGACCAGAGAGTCAATCTAGACAATGCTGAGAAGATGCCACTGCAATCTGCTGCAGGTCTCCCTGCTTGGAAGGGCATCAGCCGTGGCACTGGTCCACTGCGTGAGGGGAAGGGCAGAGATACAGCAGTGGCTGCACTCACACCGCAGCTGCTGCCAAGTGGGCCATACTCCAGTGCTGGGACCTGAACAACCAACCTGTGATCACCTGCCTGAGTGCAGCGGCTCAGAAGTTTGGAAATGTTGTGGTATTTAATTAAATAAAATAGCACCATGACCATTTTCTAAACAGTAGTTCGGACAGAAAATGACAGTTCCCCACATTCCCTCACACTCCAGTGAGACCAAGAAACAAAAATCACCAAGAGGCTTTGGAGCTGAAGGGATGGAACTCCATGCAGACGAGACAAGGGCTGATTCTCAGTGGCTGAGAAGAGGTGCCCATCCCCAGGTGGTGTGCCTGAGCCCAGCTCTTGGCTTTCGCCCACAGGAGTGACTTGCAGGCGATCACTTCTAATGGATAAAGCAACCTTGCCAATTGGAGGAGCTAAACCCTCACTGCCAGGGATTCTGAGGAAGGGAGATTATAAGCCTGTTGGAGAGTCTGCCCATCATGGTCTTAGCCCTACACTGGAGAGCCAGTGTGACATAGTGGTTAAGAGCATGGGACTGGGACTCAGACAATCTGGGTTCTAGTCCCCGCTCAGCCATGGGGCCAACTGGGTGACTTTGGGCCAGTCACAGACTCTCAGCCCAACCTACCTCACAGGGTTGTTGTTGTGGTGATAAGATGGAGGAGGAGATGTAAGCTGCCTTGAGCCCTTTGTAGGAAAAAGGCAGGATATAAATTGAAAAATAAATAAAACAATACAATAAATAAATACAGAGGACCACTTTCCACACAGACTCTCACTCAGGACTGGCTCCAGTTTTGGAGAACTTTGGCAAGACCTTCTCAGCAGGCCCCTGTACTCAGTGAGTTGACCTTCTCACCACCATTTCGACCAGCTGCTGTTGCTCCTCATCCTCTTTCTCATAATCCCTGCCACTTGGATGCTTGCCTGGAGGAGAGCCTATGAGTGAGTAAGCGGTGGTGTACACTGCTCCTCCTCTTTTTCAACCCCACTCACCACCATCATGGCCTGGGTCAGAAAGAGAGGCAGGTGCATAAGCAGGTGGCCAACTTCAGGAAGAAGCAACGCCATAGGGCTCCTATTAGTGGCAGGTGCCCAATTGGGCCTACCCTGGGTGCTGGTTCTGCTACCACCCATGCTAATGATACACCTCTGTTTAAGAAGAGGAACATAAGAACTGGCATGAGAGTCCAGGGAAAGAGAGAGCTCTCAATCAGCATTCTGCTGTGGAATTTGGTATTGCATTCTACGCTGTCGCCCTGCCCTTGAATTGAAAGTAGAAACTGTAAAATGCACTTAAGTCCTTCCGTGGTGCTGAATTCTATTATTTTGGCCTCATGCAGTAAAGTCCACATTGAAACACCCTCCATTTCTGGCAGCACAATTTTATTCCTTTAGTGAAAGAGGAACAGAGCAATGCTATGAGTGTGTTCCTTACGCCCGCAGCCAAGTTCCATATACCGCGGGTGATGTGCAGCCAGGATCAAAAGCACTAGGCTTTTGGGATGCACTGACAAGTCAGTACGGGGCAGCTGGGCCACTATCGCTTGCTGTGCACACTTAGACCACTGCTATATTGTCCATCACACAGCCGCATTTTTCAACAATCATATTAGGGAACTCTGCCACCTCAATTTCTGTGTAGTTTCCCTTCTTGACAAGGTACATCATGGGCAGTGGGGAACTCTCCACCACGGCACAAGTTCTCTCTCCATAGCCAAAGTGGTGTGGCAAGTTCTTGGGCTGCCGGCAGCCACCCACACAGCGGTAAGCCTGGTAGCCGGCTGGCTCAATGATCCAGTACTGAGTCCAGGTCAGCTCTCGGAAATTGATGTAATGTTCCTGTCGGCAGCAGATGGCTTTCTCAGTTGAGAGTCCTTCTTTGCAGTCTCCAGGTCCTCTGTCAAAAAGCAGATCCAATATTTTTATGTCTAAGATGGAGAATAGGGACACTCAGCAAAGCTATGAGGAAAATACAGTCATTGGTGGATTGGCGTGTCTTCAAATGTTTCGGGTACCAATCTGAGTCTGTGCGTTTACGACATGTTTAACCCACCCCTTTCTTGGCTTATGTGGACTCATCTCACGTGCCTCATTTTATCCTCAGAACTATAAGGAGTAGATTACAAAACAGGCAAGCCAGGGTCCTCCAGATGTTTTGGATTATAACATCCATATGTACCAGCCATCATGGCTATTGGTGATAGATTGTGGTAGCTATAGCACAAAACACACAGAAGATCCCAAATTGCCTATTCAGATGGTGGCTGGTCAAGAGTTACCTAGTGAGTTTCACAATAAACAAGGATTTGAACTCTGTCCACAGCATTACACAGGCTCTCCAGTTTAGTAAATATACTGTCCTCATATCTCCTTGATAAAACATGCAACATGGTTTTAATTACACAAACCTGGGGTTAGATCCAGTTTCTTTTCCACCAGTGGGAGCATTCCCTGAGTGGAATTCTGCTCAGAGTGTTCCCACATCCATGAAAAATGGGGAGGGGATCTCTGCCTACTGCCCTCTCTTTCTAAAGCCCCCTGCCTCCAGGATCACCTCCCTGCATTTTTCTGGAAAATCCTCCTACCATCAGAGCAGATTTTGGATAGAAGGGGGAAAGAAGGGAATTGACAAAGATTGCCACCTCCTCTGTTCCATCAGCAAAATTCCTCTACTAGCTAGGAAGCCTCCCACAGATAGAAGAAAGTTTTCCAATGCAGATTCTGGATCCATTCCATCATTTGTATTACCTTTTCCCTCTTTGTCCCTCCCTCTTCATGTCAGTTTGTATGGTCATTTCCCACAAAGACAGTGCAAGGAAGTACTGCTAATTAACACCTTTGGAAAGCAGTGAGTTCATACAATACAAACCCATACATGCGTTGTTGTTGAAATGTGGGTCATTGTTTTACCTGAATCCAGCCATGCTAACAAACCATGTTTAGTTAACCACAAAAACCCACACATAGCAACCCAACAACAAACAATGAATTCTATTTGTGAGTTTTTTGTGGGTTTTTAAAAGCATGGCTAGGTTCACACAAGCCTTAGTTCAGGGACAACCCCAGTTCAACAATAAGCCACACATAGCCTTGAGTATGGGTGTCATCTTGTGTGAACCCTGAGATTAGTTTAATATCTAGATTTCTATGGATGACAAGATACTGTATATCCAGCAGCCAAAGCATCTTTTAAAAGCAGTGAGAGACTAAAAACACACACTATGCAATTCATTCTATGCATATTTACTTGGCACGGAAGATGCGATCCTACATATACTTAACTGATACTAAGTCCCATTGAATGCAATGGGACTTACTTCCAGGATAACTTAAATAGGATCCTGCTGCCTAGATGCAATCCTAGGTACCCTCTCTTGAAATCAATGATGGTCCAACAGGTGATGCTCGTTTGGGTCAACACATAGAAACATAGAAACAGAGTGAGTCAGAAGGAGTCTCCCGGGCCATCTAGTCTGACCTCTGGCACCAGTCGGCTCCGCTCACAACATGCCCACCATGGTTTGGCTATCTAACAAAAGGTACAAAGAGTCACCATGTGGACACAGTTTGACACTTACCCATATTCTTCCAGGTTAAGAGTATAAAGCACCAACTCAGGTTTGCCTAGTGCCTTATCTGAAGGGTCCTGAGATGTAAAGCGCACGCTTTTGGCCATTTCCGAGGCATAGTTGCCTAGCCTTTCTCCTTCAATCCAGATCTCCAAGAGTATTGGTCCTGGCTTCTTTGCTTTTAGCCAAAAATGCACAGCCTGTGTAACATCGAAATTCTTCCAGCCAGACTCCATAATTGGAACTAACCTTAATGAGAAAATGGATGATCAATGGAGGTAAAGCCTAGAACATTTGTGGTGCTAAAAATGCATCTGTGCAATAGTGCAGCTGGGTAACTGTAGTTCCTGGCCTTAATGGCCTTATGGGGCTGGGGCGCAGGTGACTTTAGGCACAATCCTAGTCTGATTAGGGAGGTACTGGGAGTTGTAGGCCTTTTTCTGTCTAAACTGGCGTAGGATTGAGCCCTTTGTATACCACTGTATATACATTTCTCTTCCCCCACAACTGCCATTCCATATTTTACAATTGCATTCATAGAAACATAGAAACAGTGAGTCAGAAGGAGTCTCCCGGGCCATCTAGTCTGACCCCTAGCTCCAGTCGGCTCTGCTCATGACATGCCTACCATGTGCATTCGTTACAGTGCAGAATATGTGCTGACCTTGCAAGAAATCACAGTAATTCTCTGACCTCGTGCAGGTTTATTTATTTAAAAAAATATAGTTTTCAGTTTTAGTTGCCTTGACTGCCCAGATGCCCTCATCAGCAGCCGCTCTTTGAGTGGTCATTGGAAATAAAGGTGAAATATTGTCACTTGAAGAGAGCCCCCTTGCCGGTGGAGGGCAGATTCCCTGCACCCAACCCAATGCATTTTAAATAATATCTTCTTGTTGTAAACTGCCCAGAGAACTTTGGCTATGAGTGGTAGAGAAATGAAATAAATAATAAATAATGTCATTCCCCCCTTGTCTGATACCTGTTACAGCACCTGAGCAATTGTTATGCTGCCTAAGCCATTATTCTAGCCAGATCTGAAAATGTAGGTTTAGTGGCTAGTTCAGTCCCAACACAAGTCACCATTGCTGTGCTGTTTTCCAAACCATCCTCCTTGGTATTTTAAGATCTTAGTGCTGCCTGGGCTGGGTGTTTTATGGCTGGTGTATGTTCCTTTTATTAGTTTTGCTGCTTAGTCATTGGATGGGAATTTATCATCTGGGATTTTACTCAGTGGAGCTTGCCCAGAAGGGATTTTGCCCCTAAAGGTGATCTAGAAATAATTTAAGTAAAATACATAAATCTTGACTGCATGGAGATACTGAACCCTTCCTTGCGACATAGGTATTTGGTTGTCTGAACTTTTTAAATGGCTAAGGTGCTGCAACATTAGCTGCAACTGTAGTTACAGGCTCAGATTTCAGGCAGGACTGCTTTAGAGTACAAGCCAGGGGTTCTGGGGGGCCCTTCAGCAAGACCTCTTCAATGGGCCATTTCCTTCAATAAACCTCTTCACTGTCACCAGCTGCTCTTGCTCCCCATCTTCTTATCATTGCTACCGTGTGCCTGCTTGACAGGCAGGGAGTCTATGAGCTCTTAGGCAGCAGTATCTCCTGTCCACCTTCTCACCACAGTTGCCTTCATGGCCACAAGAACATACAGAGGGCAGCAGTTTCCTGAATTTTGTCCTTTCCCCAGAAACTACATCACTGGTTTTAGTAAAACCCAAGAGCACCTTTCCTGGGCCTGTTGACTTGAGTTCTTCATTCATACCTAGAATCAATCAAAGAGGTCCGGTTGGTGCCGTTTTCCTGATGCTGTACCAGGTACACACTCACTCGGGCATTCAGGACTGGCCTCTGTGACGGTCTGCTGGGTAGGTGTTTCCTCTCCAGGGGTTTCTTGAAAAGCTTCAGCTCAGCCATGGTGACTTCACTGTTTTCTGGAATCCTACCTTCCATGTCAAAGATCAGATTCTGACGGGTAGTGTCTGAATAGAGGATGTCTCCTGAAATATCTGTGTGCATTTGGGAATAGCAGGCATTCATTATGGTATCCACCATCCACTGGGGGAAAATGCTATATTTCCATGTCACATTAGATACAGCCTTCACCAGACTGCTGTCTCCAGATGTGTTGAATTACAATCTCCATCGTTCCCAGACAGCCTAACATAGGCTGTGTTGGCTAGTGATGAAAAGAGCTGTAGCCCAAAACATCTGGAGGGTCTCAGGTTGGGAAGGTTATATCTTTATTATTATTATTATTATTATTATTATTATTATTATAACATTTCTATGCCGCCCCTTGCCGAAACCTGAAATAAAATAGTACATAATAAATTACCATTAAATACAAAAATACAAAAAATACATTGATTTACAAATATAAAATTAAAATTATCAGTATAAAATAAAAATATAGGAGGAGAAAGAGAAGGAAGAAGAAGTTGCGGCTTTCCCCCACCTGATGCTCTGCAAACATGCCACCCAGATGTTCAGGGCAGCTGTTAACATTTATTTTTTCTAATGTACCATCAGATCAGCTGGTGGTCTGCCCTTGTATGCCACCCAACAGACCAAGGGAAAAGAGCAGAAGCCTTAAGAAGCAGTTTTCCAGTTCAGGACATTGACATCTGGATTCTGCACAAAAGCAGGAAACAAACCACAGAGTAAAACATCTGCAAAACAGCTCCATACATAAGATTAGCTCAGCAGTGACTGAAGCTGCCTAGGAAAGCAGTGAAGTCACTTTGAAGAAGAAGGAGGCTTGTAGCCAGCCTGAGAAGGAGCAGCTCAGTGGGCTTTCAGACCCTTTTTAACAAATGCAAACTTTTAAAGATCGTTTGTTTGTTTGTTTGTTTGAAAATGCAGGAGCGAAGGGAAAACTTAAGAGAAAACCCCTGACTATAGGCTCAAGAAGACTAAAAAGAAGAGGAGGAGGAAGAGCTGCAGCAAAAGCAGGATTATTCATTAGCTGGAAACCTGTTGCAGGGGATCCTGTGAGCATCTATTCCCTACTACTCCCTTGTAACTACACCGGTCCTCTTGCTGTCTTCCTTCCCTTGCACGCATGCACTCCAGGCAGTGAAAGTTTGGCTCAGGGCGGCCAAAGGCAATTGCACAGCAGGAATTCTATTTTGGGGGTGAAAAGGGCACCTGCTTGGCCCTGCACTCCGTTGTCCTTTTCTTTTCAGGGTAACCACATAACACCACTTCCTGCATTACTAGCTTGGCACCCAACACAGAGTGGGGATCACATAATGTTTCCCTCTGGATATACCCACAGAGAATTGTACACTTAATCTGCCTTCCCCAACGTGGTGCTATCCAGCTTTGTTGGACTACAACTTCCCTCATCCTCATACCCATGGTCAATGCAATGGAAAGCTTTTCAAGTGACACAACATCTCCTGAAATCAATCTTGTCAAGTTTTAAAGTTCATCAACCCTCCCCACATACTACACCCTGCCATCCCTTTTATGCCAAAGAGATTGTATCTACAGAAAAATCCCAAGCCTCAAATGTAATATCTGGGCATAAACTTGGTTCTTGATGGCTCAGAGATTCCTGGACAGTTATTTGCATTCGCTTGAGAAACCACTGAAAGCTATCAAGTCCAAGAGCAGACCTGGGCTTCTATTTAAGGCTGAGCCTTTGCTTTCAGTTCCCCGTGTAAGAATCTCAGCGACATTTACCTGCATTGCCAGGAATTCCTCTCAGGATCCCAGCTAGACTTGGCAATGTCCTCCGCTTCACTCGGCGATGCTTCAGGATGGAAATGTATTTATTCCTTATATTCTGTGGAATGACCAAATTCTCCAGGTCTGTCCTCTGAAATACGGGAACATCAGGAAGCCCGAGTTTCTCCAGCAACATCTGCCTGAGTCCTTTCTGGGTAAATCCACTGGCAGTGGTGGCTATGAAGAGGGCACAGGTTAGCAACCAAGCCCAGCTAAAGCTCATGGCCATCCTTTGCCTATCAATCAACTGTGGGAAAGAATCCCTGAAGTCTCCCTGCTCAGTATAAGCCAATCTGAGCCAGGACAAGAAAGCTCTGTGAGGCTGCAAGCTGCCTGAATGGGAAGGAGAACTACTCCGATGGCTTTATATAGTGAGTCTGATACCACTGGCATAACAAATTCCACAAGCCGAAGTGAGGCTGAGAATTGGAAGTGTTACATCCCTTTGATAGAACCAAGCTATAGTAACACTTCCTAGCACCGTAAACATATTGCAGGAAAATTTAGAAAATGATTTATTCCAAAACCTCTCAGTGATCAGAACAGAAATATCCCAGGCCTGATTCTTTCATTATATGTTGTGCTGCTGCAGTTCTTCTCCCTTCAGTAAATTCATGGACTTTTTTTTTTTTTTGTGGAGGGGGGATTTACAGTTCATTTTCATAGGAGTAGATCTTACTGATTAGATTTAGATCTAATAAGATCCTACTGTATAAACTAGCAAACCTTGTACAAAAGTCCAGTGAAAACGTATCAATTCTCAGACACATCAACTGTGCAATTCTACTCAATTCTATGGGTATATATAGCTTGCTAGGAGTTTTCGGGCATTTTTCTGTCTCAACATGAATGGGATCACGTTCTGAACTACTTTTCTGGTAGGTACAAATCTTCCGATATGCACATATGTCACCAACCTCATACAGAAAGGTAAGGTAATCTTCTAGGGCTTTTATGGTAAACATGGAACGGACAATAACTTACCAGGAAAAAAGAAAGGACAGTCATATCCTAAGATTAAAAATGATATGCTCTAGAATAATTTTTCTAGTCCAAATATTTTCTTTAACCAAGTTTGTGAATTATATGATTGCTGTTAAATTGGTATTAATCATACCACTTTGGTGGGTTATCTCCTTGAACAAGACAGGGTATTTTTAGATGTCTAAAATATAACAGATTGAGCATTTAAAAAAAGCTATTTACATGATTTTTATTATGGTTTCCTGTAACTTCTCAAATATAGTTTGAGAAGATTATTTTAGGCTGCATTATGTTTGCCTTGTTATTGGCTGAAATATAATGTGCTGTTTTACTGGAATGAAGCCTGTAAGATCCAATTACTACAATAGCACCAATTATTACAGATGGCAACTGTCTTTGAGGCATAGCAAATCCAAGGTGAATGGACTTCTTTCCTCTAGTGTTTTTGGAAGGCTTGTCTGGCTTGTCTCTTTGGCATTTGAGGCCATACATTTTTCTAACCCCTTTTCAAGCAATTGGGCAGACCAATCCTATAGTTCGTAGATAACATCTAAGGGCACAGGATCAGCTCTGAGGCTGGGAAAAAGTTTCTAAGGGAATAGGACATCTAAAGCAATAGATCCAGCTCCAAGGTTCCCAGCTCCAGAATTAGAAAAGAGCCCCTCCCAGAAGCCAGAGAGGAAAGAACCACCTCAACTGTGTCTCTGAAGTTGCCCATGGGATGTCAGAGAAGGGGTGAAAAAGGTGTTCCCATCAAGGGAAGGGAGGAAAATGTGGCCACCAGGTCACATCAGTGCTCCCGCCTCCTTCCTTTCCACCTGATGCTCCTCAGCTGGACACCCAAAATTGTTTATCTAGTTGATTTGCAAGGCAGGGGACCACAGAGGGATCACCTCTGCTCCTCCCATCCTACCCATGATGCCTTTAAGGTTGAAGAATTATGGGTATCTCCACTTGATTGCTTGCTATGTAACAAATTACATAATTTGTATGTTGAATCTCCATTGATCTTCAATGGATGAACCTAATATGTAGCATTCTGAGAGGGGAAGAAAAACTTTACCTTATCCACTTTCTCCACACCATGCACAATTTTGTGAACCTCTATCATGTCCCTATTATAATATTCTTTCAGAGATGCAGCTGCTAGAGCTGGACAAAATATTACGAGTGAGGTCACAGTATTGGTTTGTGCAAAAGCATTTTAATACTGGTATTTTTCTTTCTGACAACTTTCCTAAGGATGTTTTGCACATAATTTGCTTTTTTGCAGAGCCACTGCTCACTGGGCCAATGTTTTCATTGGGCTGTCTACTCCAGCCTCAAGATCTGTTTCTGATCATTCCCCGCCAGCTCAAATTCTATCAGTTTCTATGTGAAATTAGATGTTATTGTTCTTGTTGTCCCAGTGTACATACTTTATTTGCTGTGAACCAATTTGGAAAAGTCCATTTGGAGCTTTTTACTATCTTTTCTTTATCCATCCTCAATAATTTAGTATTATCTACAAACATGGCCATTTCATTCTTTACCCTTAACTCGATATATCTATGAACAAGTGAAATAGCACCAGCTTCCACTGCACATAGAAAATGAAAGTTTAGTATGTTATCCGAACTGGATATCCTGACATGTTGCTCCCAAACAAGGATGTGTAAACGAAGATCCCTGCCTGGAATCCTGATTTGTAAGATCCCTGCCAGGAATCCTGGTTTGGTCTATATGCTAAACTTTGCATTTCTGGTTAGTTTAGCCACTTCAACTAGTAGGTGAGTGAACCATCAATGTACAATTTGACCATAAAAAGTCAGGATTCTTCAGACTTCTGGCATACAATTTCATGCTAATGTAGTGAAACAAGACTTACCTTTGCAGAAGCCAATTTAAGTCACGTTCTTTCTTATGCTTGGTAGGTTCATCTTTAATAGTGCTTTGCATTATTGGGGTTTTAATAGTTCATTATTTCCAAAAGAATGTACCATGCAGATATTTTAAATGATGCACTCTTAAACACAAATTAGCCATGATGACTCAGAGAGATCCTCCTATGTGGCAGTGGACTTGCTGACTGGAATTACTCACTGGCCTTTACCTGCCCCTCTGACCACACTGTCGGGTGTGGGGAGAAAAGACAGAGGTCTGGCCAGTTGCATCACCCACCCCTCTGCCACCAGAATGTGCTAAACACCATGGAACAAGCAGGGTCACAGTGCAGGTCTAGTCAGAAATGTGTGAGCAGGACAGAATTGCTGCACATGATGGTGGTCCACAGAGGTTTTGCACACTTGCACGCCCAGGTCTCTTCTGTACATGGATGGGGTTGGATCTGGAAGGGAAATACGGAAATGGTTGACTATGTAATGTAACGGACTGGCTCTTTCACAAATAGGTGACATGAATGGAAGACGGTCTCTTCGATTTTGCATTCCTCAGCCTACCCACACAGTCGCTGTGCTGTATGTCAGGAGCTTTGCCACTAGAACCAAGCTTCCCTGTCCTAGCTGATGCTTTACTTCACAGCACAAGGAAGAGCTGTCATGCATGGGGGATGTGGTGTTCCCACCTGGTGCTGTTTGACCTACTTGATTTTTTTAAATGCTCATATTCATTAAGGGTTAGGCAGGCATGCACTGCAGATGTTCTAGACTATAGCTCCTATAAGCCACAGCCAGCATCATGAATGGTCATGGATTATGTGATTTGCAGTCCAAAATATCTTGAGGATACCTGATTGTTTGCCTGTCTCTTAGACTCTTCCTTAGGATCTTAAAAAAGGTGCTAACCCTAGGAAAGCAAAGTACTTGCCTTCATAGCAAATGTCTTCAAAGGAGAGAACAAGAAGTCCCTAAACATGCAGAACTTTGGATCTTGACCATTATCTAGAAACAAATCTCTTTATTTCACTGGAGTATCCCATATGGCTGTCATAGCCTTAAATGAACAACTCTAGTACACATGCAGAGATATTGGTATACATGTGAATTCTGATGCACAGTGACTATTTATAGATGGAAACCTCCTAGATGCTACCAATAAAAAAAATATCCTTCCATCCCATCCTAAAGGATTTTTTTTCCTCGGTAAGAAAGAATATGAGAATAGTGATGAGAAAACATGGACGAGTCACTGTTGGCAGATAATAGTGGTGGATCCCTGTGCATTTCCATGTTTGAAGCAGGGTGCTTGCAGGATAAAAGCCATCAGATTTATAATCTAAAAAGCCACATGATGAAAAGGAAAAAAGGGATGGCAAGCTAAAAGAAAACAAGAACATTGGGGCACAAATTCTTAACATTGCACAGTTCTTACAATAGCCACCTGCAATAAAGTGTAATGTCATAATAGCTGCTAAGGCAGCAGAAGGAAAGGAAGACCAAATATGAGGTGGATTGACTCTATAAAGGAACCAAAGCCTTGAATTTATAAGATCTGAGCAAGGCTGTCATGGATAGAACGTTTTGGAGAGCTTTCAGTCATAAGGTCATCATAAGTGGGAGATGACTTGATGGCACAGAACTGGAACTAGAACAGCATAATGGAAGTGCACAGCTGATTTTGGGGGCTGCTCTTTGGGAGTGTTATGTTCACTAGTAGAAAGCAAGTAGGAATAACATTGACAAATGCCTCTGAGAAGATGTCCAGAGGGATCATTGATGAAAATTACTATATATGACATAAAAACTGATCTGTGTTGGGAATTTTAGGAATGAGGTTACCATTTTGTCTTGAAGACAATATTGTTTTCTGTGGATATAGCATAGCTCCTGCAGGAAGCTGCTAGAACTTTTTAGTCTCTCAAGTCTTTGATCATTAATTTGTCTCTCCCAAATCTGTCCATTATTTCTTTTTCTGTCCAGTCAAGTTACAGCTATTGCATTTTCCTCAAACTGAGACTCAAGTCTTGTTTTCACAGCACTCAAGAATACACAATGCATTTTCCAAAAAATAAAAAATAAAAATGAGTTATTATCAATGCTTGGGTATTCATTTTCTGCTTTGATTTTGCAGATCTTCACAGAATAACTCAAATTATTATTTCAAAATAACTTTGTAATTATCTTGTACCCAAGTCTAATGAAAAAAAAATCCAACTCCAACAACATGGACATATATATGAACAGAACCTGTTATTCTGGGAAACAATCACAAGGTAGTTTTGCATATTCTAAAAGTGTAACAAATATAGCATTCCCACACATGGTATTCCACTTTTGATAATTTGTAAACCTTGTATGGTAAGCTGGA